TAGCAAGAAGGAGGAGTTGGATGAAGGAGCGAGAGAGAGAGAGAGAGAAAGGGTAAGCAGCACATAACCAAACGAAGGCTGCTCAACAACAAGGAGTCAAAGGCCGCCGTAGTGTAGAAATAATCGTAACAAAATACACCCACTTAGTAATTCTATACTTGATTGTCCTCCTGTGCCTCCTCACATCTTGTGGTCTTCACATCTTTTGAGAGCTCTCGTCGTGTCATGAAGGTGTGGAGCTGGTGGCAGTCCTTTTCCCACCAAACTGTGTGTTTCCTTTTTTGGGTTGCAACAGTTTTTTGAGAGGTGGAAAAAGTCAAGCAACGCCCCGCGAGACGACTAGCGGAGAGTGTGCGGGGCGAGAGAGATGAAGGGGAAGTTCAAAGTGGTGAAGGCCGGAACGGGCGAAAAGATATTGGAATCGGAGGAGATCGCCATGGAGAGCTCGGGCCTCAGCTTTCGTGTCTACTGCCCCCAGCGGATGGAGATGAAGGTGATGTCCCTCTCCCCCAACGACACGGTGGCCAGGTGCCTGGCCGACATCGAGCGCGCCTTCGACAAGGTGACCACCAACAGCTCCAGTTACGACCAGCACTACAACTTCAACAACACGCTTGGCGTACAGCGGGGCCTTTTCTGTCCCAAGGCCCAACTGCTTCGCATCTTCACCGACGCCTACTCCAACTCACCCGCCAGCCCCGTCCTCAGCCCCCATCTTACCAACGCACTCTGACGGCCCCACAGTCACCTATGAGCCCGGGGGCTGTAGCGAGAATCGACCCCGCGCCGAACTCAAGCCTTCGCAGCTCTGGCTCCAGTCGTCCGGCAACCGTTGGAAGCCGGTCCAGACCGCCCGCAAGGGTGGGGTCGAAATGGGCCGACGGAAGACTGCCAACGAAGCCGACCTGACGGTGCCCACGCCATCGCCCGTGTCGAACGGGGAGGTCTCGCAAGACGACGAAGACGGGGCGAGCGAGGCCACCGACTCGTCGACCGACCTGCGCGAGAATGAGTCTGACGACGACGTGGACGATATCGACGACGACGACGACGTCGAAGAAGGCCACGCCGCCAGTAGCAGGGAAAGAAAGCCGCAAGGAGGGGCGCTGCAGTGGTCTCGGAGCGGCCTTTCCGTTTCGTCGCCGACCTTGCCCCAGGGTCCAGACGACTGGGACAAGGACGACGAAGAAGAGGTGGCGGCCAAGGGCGACGGACGAGGCAGTGCTTCCTTCAGCCCCACCCAACTACGGCGCACCACCGGCGGCCTTGAAGGCGGAGAAGAGCAAGAGGAGGTGCTGGGGAGGCGCAACCGGTCGGCGGCCCAGCTGAGGCGGGTGAACTCGGTGGGGCTCATCAAGAAGGGGAACGATCCCCAGCACACCAGCGGCGAGGAGCGACCGGTGCGTACCAAGCACTCCAACTCCCGGGTGCAGTCAATGGTACACACCTTTGCCTCCTCCTCCTCCTCCTCCTCGCGAGCGAGCGAGCAAGCAAGCCCCTGCCAGCTCTTCTAATGATGCTTCTTCTGGTGCGCAGAGTGTCATGGGCGAACTCCAGGAGCGGATGCAGAAGTTGAAAGCCGAGGCCAAAGAGCATGACAAGGAGGAGGGCGTGTGGCTCGAGAACAGCCGAATGCTAATCGACTACAACTTCAAGCACGGGGTACTTGATTGTTGTCTTGCGCTCTTGCCCTGGCTTTTGTGTGTTTGTTTGTTTGTTTGTTGCTCACAACACTACCACCCCAAACCAATGCCCTCAAACAGACCCTGCTGTTGCTGCGCCTTCTGCCTACTGACTCGAACCCGATGAAGGGTTCCGCTTCCGCTATGACGCCGCTCAGCATGTCCTTCGGTTCGGCCATCACCGAGCAGCCCCCGCACCCGGTGCTCGACCGGTCGCGGGACTCCAGCACCCCGTCGCCCTCGCTCCCTTGCCGCCCTATCGGGTACTGCTCCCCGCCATCATATAGGGTGATCCTGCCAAGTGGTGGCACCTGACGCTTGCAGCGAAAGAGCTGTGCAGCAAGGCAGCCAACGAGCTTCTGACCACCGAGCGCACCTACTTGAGCTCCCTCACCACCCTTCATCAAGGTCTACGTGGTTCCCCCTCCAGGAGCAGGTACGGCC